GGGACCATGGACAAATCCAAATCTCCTGTAGTCATCCTGTCCAGCAGAATGTCTGGTGCAGTAGTAGGTCTTACAAAACTGACACTCAATTCCCTTTGTCAGGAACGAGCTCTCCCTACAGACTCCGCATCGGGGTCCGTTACGGGAACACTCTTCACACAGGTTCTCTTTAAACGAGAAACAATACTCACAAATATCACCTCTGCATCCCTTGCAGTGAAACTCAGCCATGAGATGATTAATGATTATATCCATCACCTATGTATTTACATCTGGGTTTACCAGGGTTGCCAGGGTTCCCACCGGCGGCACTCTTCTTCCCCCCTCCTCCTGGGCTTTGCCAATCTGGAGGAGGAGGTGGTGGAGGATCATCATCAGGAGGGCCAGGTGGAGGTGGCCGCTTATCCGGAGTACGGGACGCGGCTCGCCTTCCTCCTGTGTGATCGTTCAATCCACTACTTGAGGCCTGGTTCGAGTGCCTTGACTCGAGGGAGTTAATTCTCTGGGCCGTATTACCCAGCACCTCGAGCATTTGCTCGAGCTTACTGTTGAGCGTAGTCGAAACGGCCATGTTATGAGTGTTTTGCTTGTCCGTGTAGGACTTGCAGTCCCTTGATTTCATCTCAAGGTTGGCTTGTGTCTCATAAAGTTGGTCTTTAACCCACTTTATGCCGTCCCTATTATTGGTCCAGCGTTGTTCGACATCTTGCATCATCCTATCAATCTGACATACCCTAGTGGACAGGTCCTCGATTTTGAGGTTCACTCCACCAATAGCAGGATGGTTGGATTGGCTCTCCACTAGAGATCTCTCGATCATATCAACACGAGCTATAAGCCCGGTTACTCGATCAGAAAGAGATTCAAAAACAGTTTGAACCTGGGTGATGGAGCGAGCAACATCATCGTAGCTGGCTCGCTCGTTTAGGGCATCGCCTATGCTTATCATGCGATCGGCAACGATCTTGACGCGTTGGCCAAGCTCGGTCACGATGTCCTTAGTCCCTTGTGATAGCTGCATGGCCGCGTTCGCAGCCTGCGTACACGTGCCACTCACATGGACGCATTGGTCGTATTTGGCCCTCCACGAGTTAACCTCAGTGGAGAGCTGCTTGATGCATTGATCACTTCTATCATTCCTACGCCCAAGGTCTTCGACCTTAGCAACCAGGCGATGAATAATCGCACTTACCGAAGAGTCCACTCTCCCTCTTTCAAGGGCTGTTACAAGATCAGCAACCTCGTTGGGTTGCTCCTCACTCGTAGGACCAAATCCTGATCCGCGATCTCGAGGAGTGGACAAATCAACCATGATTGGATTAGATCTCGGAGGAGTTCTGAAATCATCCTGCACGGCCGTTGATGGCCGTGGAAACTCACTCCGATTAGGAGATTGACTCTGATACGGAGCAGATCTCCTAGCATCACGAACCGCAGAGTGTTGTGTCATGCCCAGGCCTTTGGCCACGGGCAGTTTAGGAACAACAGGCCTATCCATTCGCATAGGAACATCAGGTCTCGAGTCAGCAATAACAATGTCATTCAAGTCGGTCGCATTGGACACTCTAGACTCAGACATCGATTCAATATCAGTCGCATTACTGATGGTATGATTGCGACTAGAAATTGATGCCATCATGGATTCAGATTCTATCGGAACATTAGCTCCGTCCATGTCGTCCAGGGCGAAAATGGAAGCCGCGTTGGGCGTAGGGCGAACACCTTGGGCATTCAAGCCACTTGACCTATTAAATTCCTCCTGGAATGCTTCGATCCCATCAAGCACGTTAACGAGTGTGTCCGCGTTTAGCGGGTCTCTACCAATGATCGACGCTGGATCACCTGATCGACCGCGTCCGGAGTCCCGCGCACTGGGGTTACCCCTGTGGGCAGTTTCCCGATCCATCCCCCTTGCCCTATGCGATCCAGTCGAATTTGACCTTGATCGTTTGCTTGGGGTTGGACTGGGATGCAAATCCAATCTATCTACGATATTACGCTCCCTAGGGCTCTCAAATCCTGAAAGTCCTGGGGGAGGGGACATGTTCCTCATGGTCGGGTTTACCGACGGCCTTGGCCTGACGTTACGGCTGGCCACGTCAGGATTGAGATTCTCAATCGACAAAGGTAGCATGAATTCATCGCTTCCAGCAGCCCGTTTTGGGCTTTGGAATTGCGGGAAAGATGACGGGGCGGGTGGCCCTGGCATCCATGCGGCAAAATCCATACCAAAAATGTTTCCGTCGTTGGGCCATGAGGCTCTCCAATCGAGCCCACCGGACTCGGTCGGCAGATGAACATCAAATGCAACTCCACTCGATGTACCAGGTTCGGGATTACCGAGCACTTGAAAAGCTATGCTACTGGTTGGCACAGGTCTACTGCTACCTCGAGAATCACGAAACTCGGACTGACCAATATTCATCAGCTCCGGGAAAGATGAGGATTGAGCTCCAGGTGCAATACCGGGCTCGTCATCATCACGTCCTGAGACGGAATCATCATGGTCAGGACGATTAGCCCCATGACCCTGAGAGCGATTAGCTCTTGAGGCATTAGACGATAGGTCATCAGTGCGAGTAGCACTGGACCTTCCTGAAGGCATTGCTTCTGAAAAAGTATGGTCCGACAAAAGGTCAGGACCGGAAAACATCGGCTGTCCGGGCACCTGGTCGTCATTCACAACGTCCAAGATTCCGGCCTGGCCGAGAACCCATTCATCAGTCACCACATGAGGTCCATCCTCAGTGATTCCTGCCATCGTATATACAGTAACCTACAGCGCCTGCAGGGTTGTTAAAAAGGGGTTCGCGGTGCCAACCGAGGACGAATCCTACGGCTGATAACCTGCGAAAGGGTTTGAAACAGTATTTCGGGAGAGAATAAACAGGCCCAATCCCACCAACAAGAAGAGATTGTTTAAGTCCCCCAGTCCCAAGGGCAAAGCGGTGCCCCCGGCTGGCACAAACAACGAACCAAAACAGGGTGCCTTTAACCAAAAGATGAATGAACCCAGCAAGGGCAGAGACAACCGAAAGCAAGCACAAAGCAGCAAACCAAGCAAGCAAACAATGCGAAGCGCAAAGCAAACCAAATGCAGCACCCTCCCAAACCCGTGTCCTGACCCACCTCCACGACCAAGCCCCAACCGCGGCCTCCCAGCAACGCGCACCTTTTGCGCGATGATGGACGCCGCGCCGTTGAAAGGCGCCGTGACGAGTATGGCAAGTGTGAGTTTGCCAGAGGGAAAACTTGAGCCAAATGGCGCATTGGCCATGGCAATGATCAAACATGCTATGATAAAGTTACATGCCCCCAAAAACACCCTCAAAACTCCGAGGTGTCCAAGATAGAGGGGCCCCCAACATTTTCCCAACACGATTGGTTTCCTTTGGGTTCCCCTTCAAGCTGAGTTCGAGTAGGGTTTCATAAACTGCACGCCATACGGCCCAAAAAGGTGGTGCCCCGTGTCGATTTTTAGTCTGTCTCAAACTTGGGGAACCTCCAAATCAGGTGGTTTCTTTTGGTTGCTCGTTAAGCCAATCAAAGAAGCCAAAGAAAAAGGCCTCGATAAGACACCTATATTCTATGAGGCCTCCCGTAAACAAACATGGAAGTGAACAGGCCTCCGTTGGAAAATCATCCGAAAGGGGGTCCGTACACTCCTGAGCCTGTTGATGGGCATGCGCTGCCTTTGTTCGAACAAACTTGGTGTGGGGGGGCTTCTTGCAGAAGACCACTGCCTTGTTTGTAGCTTGTAGCGCACTCTCGTTCTCAGGGGGCCTGCCATTTGGTCGTGGAAGTGACAGATTGACTCAGCAAAATACCAAGAGGGGAACAAGAGTTGGGTAGATTGCATGCCGTTGTATGTTTATAAGGGTGTTTGCGCGCGCATGTGTTCGTGTGTCTTTGTGCTTGTGTTTGTGTTGTTATTGTTCTGTGTTTATTTTGTGTGTGTGCTGTGTGTTTGTATGTTGGGTTCTTGTTTGTTGTCTGTTGTGTGCTGTTGAGTGCTGTTTGTGTTGCTGTGTTGCTTGTGTGCTTGCTTGTGTGTTGATGTAGTGTTGTTTGATTTGTTGTGTTGGTGGAGTCGGTGTGTCCTGTCCTGATTCTCTGGTTGTGTGTTTGTGTGTGTGTGTCTCTCTGTGTGTGTGTGTGTCTGTTTGTGGGTCTATCTGTCTGCCTGCTTGATCCGCTTGGTCTGGTGTGGTCTGGTCTGGCTTGTTTAATAGCTTCAGGTGCCAGCAGGAAGCATAGATCGGCATTCTCATCATTGGCAGCTTGCACCTATGCACAAACACAAAACAACACTAGACAAATACACAGACACCCACACATGCGAGTACACACGCTCACACACGCAGACAAGCGCGCACGCACACGCACACACGCACACACGCACACACGCACACACGCACACACACGCACACACACACGCACACACACACACACAAACCTGCACACCTACCCGCCAACACACTCAATCACACACACACACACACACACAGACACACACACACACACACACACACACACACACACACACACACACACACACACACACACACACACACACACACACACACACACACACACACACACACACACACACACACACACACACACACACACACACACGCACGCACGCACACGCACGCACGCACGCACGCACGCACGCACGCACGCACGCACGCACGCACGCACGCACGCACGCACGCACGCACGCACGCACACGCACACGCACACGCACACGCACACGCACACGCACACGCACACACACACACACACACACAAACCTGCACACCTACCCGCCAACACACTCAATCACACACACACACACACGAACACCGACCAGAGCGAGAAGCAACTGTTGTCAACTGCAGATTTCTTCCGGATAATTGTACGTATGAGACGGGACTCCTTGAATAGATGCAGTTTCCGACTGTACGGAGCACTTCTCTAATCCGAGGGCACACTGAATTGAAGCTTGGGCTCCGGGCCAGATGCCCATGTTGATGCACCGCATCAGCCTATCCGAAGCGGACATCGCTTTGAGATGATCTGATCCTCCCTCCAACTTAATTTCAGGAGCATGCGTTGAACAGTGGAAGGGAACCCTTCCAAACACGCCTGAAGCAAATGGCTGTGACAACGCCGGGGGAAGTGTGGAGAAATCATACAGGTCTGACAACGGAAATCTACCTTTTTCAAGCTTCAGACTCATTCTGGAGTCTGGCGTGCTTCCCTCAAGTCGGACTCAAGGCAAAAATCTGCCCTGGGCACAGGAGAAAGCGCCTCACGGGTGACATGGTTCGACTCCTGCAGGCCACCAGCAGCAGTCCTGGTGGCATTGGAATGCATAAGTCTTTAGTTTTTCACGGGACCCTGGAGATTCCAACGTCAAGGAATTCAGCAATTCTCGGCATTGACCCTGTTTTGGACGAAACACCCGCAAACTATTGAAAATACCTTGGAAAGGAAACACCCGCAAATTGCCACAAAACGCCCGCAACAAAGGGGGCAACCGCTCGCACAAACACGCAAACGTATGCAAAACACCTGGAACGCCTTAAGAACCAGAACGTCTAGAAATTCCTCAGCATTGGAATCTTCGGGATTTGTTGAACATTTCGAACACATACAGGTTTCACGCGGCGTGTACACAAACGCCCGAACAAACGAGCTATCTCCAAAACTAAAAGGTGCAACTTCGTTTTCAAGGGTCGCCTTCACTTTACAGAGTTGTTCACCTTGTTGTAGGCTTCGTGCCTACGGGTCATTTTCGCTTTACATGGTTTCAGCCCTTGCTCCACCCGAATGTCCTTGAGGCGGAGTAACTGGGGGATCCCTCAAATCCGTATGGGCCAGTACGGGGGGGGGGGGGGGGTATTTGCCTAAAGTCAACTCCCCAGGTGGCGCCAAGTCCGTGGGGACTTCCTGTTGCGAGGCCTTCTCCCCGGTCGGCTGCCAGGAAAAAGAGAGCAGATAGCTGCCACGGAAACGGATGGACTGGCCACTGTATCTTGCCCAAGGTGAACCCTCTAGGCTCAGAGGAATCAATCCCACTCACCTTGACCGCTACACGGTCCCTTAAAGGATTCCTAAGGATGCATTTGGGCCAGCCTAAACAGCCTAAAAGATCGCCTTTACAACTATCATGTAGAGGATCCATTTGTAAAAAAGGTTGTTTTTGGATGTATCCTTCAAGGAACCCTGCCCAGGAAGCCGCAAAGTGCATGCTGAGCGAGGGATTGATGGTCAGGGTTCCCGAAATTGAAGCCGCCTCTTTCTCATACATGCTCACTTCAATACGTTTGCAACGCAATCGACATTGGCATGCGCATCTGCCACAAAGCTGCCCATGTGCCAACGAACAAGTAAATGCAGGATCAATCCTCTCAAACAAACGTCATGGAGCAACATATCCATAAATCTGTATATATTTATATGTATAAACTAAATGATATTAGACACCCATTGGCAGCAGCCATTTATTTACAGTAAGCTGCGGTGGTTCAGGGGACGACACGGGGCAACCCCTCAGAAGCCCATTGGGGGGAACGGCCAAATGCTCGGACCTCCGGGTTTGCAGGCTGCGGCGGCCAAGCCGCACCAGGCCGTGTACCTCGGGCTTGACCGAGCCTCCCTGTTGGAGGGCGAAGGGAAGCCAGTGTACTCACTTCTTGCATGGGTTGGACACCAAGCGAATCTGCGCGATTTGTTTCCCACTAGAAAGGTCTTCCCAACAAGTATCAAGGAAATTAACGCAATGAACTGGGGAAGTGAGCCAAGCATTCCCAACACCTCAATGCGATCAACCAGCAAATGACGGACGGAAAAGATCGATTTGCAACAACTCAGCAGGCTGGCACTTGACACGTGCTCCAAGCAGGGACCCTCAACGTGGAAGTAGACGGAAAAGACGGAAAAACCTATGTTTGGGACAACAGCCTCACTTCATTTGATGGCAATGTGGAGAACGTTGTCTAATTCGTTGGCCTTGCCTGAAATTAGCGGCATACGTAGCGTTCCAAGGTAACCCTTCAGCGCTGACACAGTTCAGGATTCCTGCCATAAGGATTCCTACGCAAAGGCTACAATAGCAGCTCGCCTCTCGTCAAGGGACCGACTTTGCGGCCGGAAGCCATGAATCAGAGTTGGAGGCCGTTTGCTTTGAGGGTGCTCCCGATTCTCATGTTTTATATGGGGCCGCAGCAAGGTGCGCCTGCAAAGGGCAATTGCCTGGGAACCCGTTTCTTGCATGTATATCTTAATTAGGACTTTGAAGGGTCCAAGTCCAGAAGCTGAGGAAGTAAGCTGCGAAGCCTAGGGTCATGAGCTTGCTCATCACTAGGATCAGTCGGTATGCGGCCACTGAGCACGCCCATTGAACACCAAATGCTTGGTTCCAGAGTCATGGCTCACCACAGACCCCATGAAGCCAGGCGCTAGCACCCCACTAACATGAAAGCAATATTCCTCCTAACGGGACCTTTCGGTGGGTTTTCTGGTGGGCGGAAGGCCGGGGTTTGACACTGCTCACATGCCAATCTGAGGCAGCAGCAGGCGAGCACCCTCCTCAAGACGGCCATAGGTGGGTGCCTCCCAGCGGCCGAAGGGCCGAAGTGCCGAAGTGAAGGATGCCGGGAGAATTTGAACGCCCCCCAGCGAATAGGAGACTTGCAACCATGGTAAGTGGGTTATAACCAGGCGTTCTAGCCACTTACTAAGTCCCCTGCCCCTATAAGCAGCAAATACTCTCCAACCAATTGTCTCCAACCAAGTGGCGACCATGCGTTGAAGATGCCGCCATGTGAGAGCAAGGGAGTAAAGTGTTGTTGTGTGATTGTCCCACTCTTGATGATCCGTGGTCACCAGTAGCCTCAAAGCCCATCCCAACTCAAACCGAACCGGTCGCGATGATCACGGCAATCGCTGGGTATGACTTTCAAACCCAGGCCCCTAGTACCCACACATCCGGAACCTTTCCAGCGGGTCCTTCTCTTTTGTAAGCCAAAAGCCAAGAAATGGCTGGTGCTGCAACAACTGAAGGGGAAAAGAATGCCAATCGATACATAAGGACTACTTGGAATAGCAGCCCACAGCAGCTCACAGCAGCTCACAGCAGCTCACAGCAGCTCACAGCAGCACACCCATTTTGTTGTCAACCGTTTGACCAGCCTCAGGGCTTTACAACCCGATCTGCCCTTTCGGGTGCGGACGGCACCCAAATCGAGCAGAGATTTGCGATCCGGAATCCCAGGCTGCATAGGATTTCGGGTGCGTGAAGAAAAGCTACCCTGCCTCCAAAGTATCAAGACTCTAATCCATTTGTGGGGACACGCTGTGTCTAGTCTCCTTTCAAGCACTCCGGCTTCAAGTCGCATTCCGACCAATCACGTGCCCAAACCCGGCATCCCCAGTCTCCAGGCAAATCGGAGACTTAGGCCAACGCCAATGCAGGAGGCTCCAGGGACACCTGGCGGCTTTGAAAAAGTTGAAGCCCGTGGGTTCCATGGTGCCAGGTCGAAAGACCCCGTCGAGCGTTTGCACGACATCGCGCCTAATACACCCGTTTCCTCAGACCCGAGTTTGGCAAAGCTGCGTGCCGGACTGAGTTGGGCCAAACTTGGAGTGCTTATGAATGTGACTCTGTCATTCCATCACTCGCCAGAGTCGCCACGTCGAAGAATGCTTTGCACCTCAAGGTTGCATGAACCAAAGGCTGCCGGTCCCACATCCCGGAAAAGCCCGGTAGCAGGGTTACAGGGGTCGGCATGCTTGCAGGCTCACAAGCAGGAAAGGGGGTCACCACCAAACTACTGGGTGAACCTGGAGTGAACAGGCTGCCCGCCATGCCTGAAGGGGACGGTGCCGCCGCTTCCCATCGATATATACATGCATATATATATATATATATATATATAAATCGATAAGATATATATATATATCGATAAGATATATATATATATATATATGTATGTATGTGTGTGTGTTGGCAGCACAAAAAAAGATCCCAGAATCCAAGCCAAAAAACAAGTACGGCTGAATACACGCCAGGCTTGCCAAGGGACTCTCCAGGGAAATTGGTGGAATAACGAGCATCCATACCCTCCACAAACTAGAAATGACCTTGATTCTGGCTTCAAGCTACGGCACACCAAGCGCCAAGGGACGAAATGCCAAACGCCGAAGCAAACATATCCTCAGGCACCAACTGATCCCCCAGCTCCTCCAACCTGGGCTCCTGCAAAGCACAAATCGCAAAGTGACAGCCAGGGGAAGAAACAATTGGTGGATCAACGTAGGGGGGGGGGGGGAGAAAAAGAGCGTGACAGCTAAAGAGCACCGAGGCACTGCAATTGGCGAACAGGCAGCCCCGTTTCCATACACGCACACCTTCCCGAATCCTTGCTGCGCTGGCAAATGAAATCACTGAAACAAACAAAGCCAAAGGTCCAAACAACTTGAGGAGCGGGTGAACGAAAGCTAGCAGTTGTTGTATGAGATGGGTCGGTGACAGAGTGGATTCATGGGTAGCTTGTGTACAACGAGAGGCCCGGCAAGATTCGTAGGATGCGACACGCAAACGCACATGGTGGCGTGGCAAACCTTGAAAAATGAAAACAACGAGAGGCGTCAGAAGCTGTCTTAAAGCACCTCTGGGTTCTGCATGCTGCGTGTGCAAAGATTCTTGCGAGGTGGTTTACTGAGAAGACTGAGGTCTCAAATGAACAAGCTGAATCGGTGGAACATGTAAAAGTTCGTAGCACCAAGTCCAAAACGGGCAAACCGAGACTGCTGAACACTGAGCCACTGCCCGGGGGGGGGATGGACCAGGGAGGAATCGAGCCTGAAACCGGGGGGGGGGGGGAGGCGGGGGGGGGGTCTAAATAATTTATGTTTTTCAATCTTTTCGGCTCAAATAATTGAAAAAATCAATCTTTCGGCATTTGAGCCCCTTACCTTGCTTATGCAAGGAGAAACTTCAGCTAGCTAAAGCTAGCTTTCGTGACTAACAATCGTGACAAGAATGCTTCACATATCAACTCAACCATCTAGTTCATCCTCCCCGACAAGCCTAAACGTGGCTGGCGTTATGAGCCTCGCAACTCTTCAGGAGATGCGCAAACACATGTGTATATAAGTATTATAAGGGTGCTCCACATCGGCAAATCCTCACCCAAAAGAAAATGGGCTATTACAAAATCATTAATTGAAAACATCACCAATGGCCCATGCCATTTTGCACAGCTTATGAAGCTATAAATATCACATTCCTTTGAGGATGTGGTTCAGGGTTGCGGAAATCCTCTTAGAGCTTTTCCATATGCCATTCAAAAAACAGTCTCACTTGGAGTCTGTCCTCGCCGAGGCTGCAGTACGTTACGTGGTCTTGGCACTGGTTCCTCCCACGATCGGCCGCAAGTCGATTTCAACTCCCTCCCCGAGGCCACCTGAAGGTCTGTGGACGTTGGTCAGGCTTCATCGCAACATGGAAAGGTAACAAAGCTGGATGGCTGCCGATGCACTTGCACTTCCGGGTTCTGGGGACACCCAACCCAAAAAACAAAAAACTGTACTTGCCCAAGTCCCTGGCGCACTTCAAAGCAGACCCTAAGAGGGTGCCTAAGCTGGTGCTCTAGGAGAGTCGTTTGATTCAGCGCGAGAAAGCGAGTCAGTTCCACAGCCAATCATCAATATGCGAGACAAGCCGGACTCAAACAGGAGGCTTTGCTCATGTCGCTTTGGCCTTCGGCTGCTCAAAGCAGGTGCCTGTGACATCCGATTTCTTTGGTCCGGCTGGATACTTGCATGGTTGTCAAGGGTTATGGCACCCTGTTCGGGGCCCTCAACAACAATAGGCATGGCAAATGGCAATACAGTAGCACCTAGCCCAGCATGGTTCAAAACGAACTTGACGCTAGCGTCAGCACTGCCCCTCTGGCCCAGCCCCTCTGCGAGGTCGACGCATTGTAAAGAGTAGCTTGCCCAAAGAAGGTCAACCTTTTAGAATCTTGACCGAACATGAACTGGCATGGGCAAAGCAAAAGGCCAACAGATCGACCCCAACAAGTCCAAAGGCAAACACGGCCCCCACAAACGCTGCCACCCAGCCTCTCCGCCAATAGCCGCAAAGCCTGCTCAGCTTCTTTGGCCGAGCCTCAGCCAAAGGTTCCCCGCACTGGGCATCAAACCAATGATCTTGGTCCATCACGTAGCCAAGGAAACCACAACATTTGAAGGTCCCATATCCCATTCTGAGAACCCCAAATTTCCGGAGCCCAACTACCATAGCGGAAAAAAAAAGACCAGCAGTTTGGTTGGGATGTCAAAGGGCTTGTCCAAAGGACGGATTTACACAGAAGGGTATGGATACGCTAGACAAAGTCCATCACCCTCAAAGCGAGCTAGTGGTTCATGGCATCTTGCAAGCTCTGGTTGGCCGGAATCCGCTCAACCAACAGCAGAAGCCAATCCCGCCATTCCAAGGAGTGCGTCCCACGGCACCGCATAAGCTAGTCTGGCTGCAAGTTTGACCTCCCAGCTTCCACCTTGCCTTGCCCAGCAACCAACAGACATGGCGGAACAAAGAGCACTTTTTGGTAGCTTTTGCTTAGCGGGGCACGAAACAATTTAGAACAACAAAGCGCAAAAGGCTGCAACCGGGGCCGAAAACTACAGCAAGTACGCTGCAAAAACCCAGGCTCTTGGTACACTAGGTGCCTCAAAGGAACCAGAAGGTCCCAAGGCTGCGACCCTTTTCACTGGATGCTCTTTCAGGTTCCTTTCAGTTCCCTTTTGGGACGCTTTCGGCTGTTGCATCCCAGCATGGGCCCCACACCGCTGGCCACGGCGCATGTGACTTTGGCGCCTTTCCTGAGCCAGCCAGCTAGCCGGGGGAGAGTCACACCTCCATGTCGTGGCCTTTGGGGAAAAAGACCATACCTGTAACCTGCAGAAAGCCATGCTGCTTGCTTCCGCATGGAACCGCAACGTTGTCCCAAGGTCATCCTCGGCTAACTTGAATTGTAACTTGATGGCAGCTAAGAAATGTTATTACCTTCCCGTAAAATCGCTGAGATGGAAAGCTCGGCTTGATTCGGCTTGTATGGCGCAAGGGGGTGACGCAAGATTCGCATGGATTCGCCACACTTGCCCAGCTTCAATCGGAGCGTGCCTGATAGTGATGGGAAACCGCGTGGGCTATCTCAAGAAATCTCCCTGCATGAAAATTGAGATGGCCCCAAACGGACGAGGATATTGAGACCTGTTCAGCCAAAGCCGACACAACGTCCTGGCAACGCCGGGAACCCGCAAGGTGCCCTGAAACTCCCAGGTCGTCCGTAGCTTTCAATAACCTATCTGAATTTCATGGACCTCAAAGCAGGCTCTCATGCGGGAATGCTTGGCGAGCGTTCCCTGACTTTTGGGGTTACTTATGGTTACTGTCGGGGGAACCCAAAGCAACAAAATCAAGTTTCGGCCCATTTGGAGACATCATTTAGAAACAATTGCCATGCAACTTGGCCAAACCAAGGGTACACCAAGCAATAACATATATGTCATGTCTAGATTCGGATTCAGACTCGGTCAAAGGAGACCAGGCCTTAGCATGCCGAGGCACGCGGCAGCGGAGATCCCGGAGCTTTCGCCGAAGAGACTCAGCACCTCTCGCTTCCGGGTGAAAAACGACACAATATGAACGATTACCCCCATTGTGGTTTAAACGTTCACTTCGCGGCTTGTGGGTTTGTTTTAAGACTGAACTTTTGGTGGGATATGGCACGTCTCTAAATTCTGTAAGTCAAACAGATCTTGACGGTATGGCTGGGCACCGCTGAGCTTAGTCATCCCCTTTACGTGCTCAAATGTTGCGTATCTACTTTCACGAGGGAATCGAATTTGTGCCAAATGGCGGGTTGACCTGGAAACCCGAACAACAAGGGCTTAGAACAGCGGTCTTCTTTGGCTTCACCTTAAAACAAACCTCAAGCGTACCCTCAAAGAAAGACCCGCCAACATCAGCCGTTTCTAGGCAGAGAACATGCGAGCTGTGTCCTTTCAGTTTCCCCGCGAGCGTCCAAAAGCGGAAACCCGATTTGAGAATGCGCCAGAGTGGCTTCCAAAGCCCGTGACGCATGGATGTGGCGCCCCCCCATTAAAGCACACTCGGATCTGGCTGAGTTTGATAGATTCGCAATAAGGGTTCTATGAGAGGAACAGGCAGTCTAGGTGAACATGAAAGACCCTGTCTCACAGAGATTTTCCTTGATCCTTCACTCCGGGGTCAAGACTTGCTGAGTTGAATGGCCAAGAAGTGGTCAACCTGGCCTGCAAAAGCCACAAAGCCGGCGCGGCCAATATGAAATCGACCACTTGCAGGCGACAGCCTTAAATTTGAAAACGGCTCTGTCAAACAGAAGTCTCAACCTGGTCCAGTTAAACCCGCTGTCAAGGCATTGGATCTGTGGCTTCCAGGGCAAAAAGAAGCGAGAGCGCGCCTTTGCCCCAAGTAGCCAAGGCGAAGCTAAAAGCAAAACTGCAAACTCATACCAAGCCGGTGGGAAACCAAATGATGTTAAATGATCCATTCAAGATATAGATGATCCACGACATATTGTGTTCGCTTTAGACACCACACCTCTACAAAAGGAAACTCACTTCGAACCGTGAATCTGACACCGACACCCAAAAATCGGGAACCGTGTCGGCTGGTGGCCCATGTTCCGACCTTTGGCTGGACCAGCACAGGCTCGCTCAGCTTCGGCTTGCCTGGCGAGGCGTGGACGTAGTTTACAAGCGATGTGGGCGGAAATCGGTCTTTCAGAAAGGAACGTCTTGGGTATCAAATGTTATTTGAGCAATGCAGCGATATTTGGGGAGGTGTGTAGTAGGGTCACTTGCCGGACTTGCACATGACAGCCGAACCGCTTGGCACCTTAACCTTCAAACCTACCCGCGGGTCCTGGAAGGCGATTCTCCCTGAAACGGAACCCTCGGGTCCCACGCTAGTGGGCCAAACTTCCAAAACCAAAAGGTCAAAACGTCGGTGAGTCGCCACATCGCGCGCCTGGCGTTCGCCGAGCGCCTAGCATCAGCGCTGATAGCAACAAAACGTGCTCAAGCTTGTTGGCCCTGGCTAAAAATAAGCTGAACAAACCCGTGTACAACTAACCGAAAGAAACGGGGAAAGTGTCACCAGCTCGTCGCTGACGCGCTCAGTTGGGCCGAGGCAGGCGAGACAGAACCATATCTGCAGCAAAGGGCCAGGCGCACGGGAGACACCAAACCCACTTACCCGAGAAGTGCCCTTGAAGATCATGTCTCATGATGCGGGCCATGTTTTCCAACCAACCCTGGCATCCTGTTTTATCTCGTTTTTTGGGGTCAATCAGGTTGGAGCAGGAGGTCGAACTGGGGTCCCCCATGCTGATTCGAACCGCACTTGGTGCCAGGCTGGGGACCGCACTCTTGTTGGGCGCAGTCAGTTCTTCTAGCGCACCTGCCTGGCGACCGGAAGCCGTAGGAACTTATCCTTAGACTAAAAAGGGCTCCACTACCACTGGAGAAAGAAAACAGCCGTTGGCTATGCAGTGGTTCTATATCCAACTATCCTTGGAGGTAGTCGTGAAACACCTCTTGTCTTCAGGTGACTTCTTCTGGTGGTGGTCTTTGACCGCCGTCAAACCCCATGCGAGCACTTTTGTGTCTGTGCGAGAAAAGCTGATTCTATGTACTCAAAAGCCAACAGAACTACATTACGTGCTCCTTGCAGCCATCAGCCAGTTCGTGATTCAACTAGTTTACTTCCGACTTGCATCTCACCAAACTCCACGGACATTCGAAACGTTCTTTCTGACATGGCAGGTTTCCTTCGAGATAACAAGCCACAGGCTCGGCGCCCGTTTCCAGTCAGGTTGCCAATCTGTGTGAGAGATTTTCACCCCGAGCACCGGTTCTATGACTGGCTGTATAATAGCTTTCTGACTTTCAAGTCTTTGCCTGCGGACCCATGGACCATGGGACAAAGGGCACTTCCATTATGTCTTGTTTGAACCAGGATTGGCCGCCCTGCTGCAAGTGGACTCTTCACAACCGAGCAAAAAAGACCCGGAAGGCAAAGTGCAGTCAAGGTCCACCACAAAACACTATTAGACCCCTAATAAAAGCCAACAAACCAAGCACGACAGGGAACCCGCCTCCCATTCTAATTGATTTCCCCCTTATTTTTCCTGCATGTCAAACATGGGGTCTGGGGCAAAAAAGATCCCCAGACTTCCCAATTGAGTAAATCAAACATTGCTATTTAGCACCCAGCTAGCGTCGGCCCCGCATAAATCAACTCGTCCCATTCACAGCAGGGAAGTTCCCTTCCCACAGTGATGAGTCACCACCAAACCTAGGGGATTTCACCCCGTTTCTTCGTCCAACATTTCCGATTGCCCTCCAAATTTCGGGAATCTTATGTTGCCCCCAGAATGGTGGGTGTCCTTGTAGTTTTCCTTTCAACCCACCGGTCACCAAACCAGGGCGCCCTCAAACCACCGGCCACGCCGTGTGTCCAGCCGTCCCGACGTCCCCGGCCAGCAGCTCTCTGAGGCGACGCTCAGCGAAGAAGGCCCCCGAGCTCCAGCCCTCGCCGAGGAGGGGGGGGGGGCTGAGTTGAGTTGGGTCCACCACTCCCCCAAGGCGGGTCTTGGATTAGTGCAAAAGAATAAGTTAAGGGGTGTGTGTTCTCCTATTTATCTCATCTCCGTAGGGTTTTTTCAGGGTGTGTATATATATATATATATCTCTTTGGTTGTTCTCCTAGTTACTTTTCAACTTTTGGATAGAGACGTTAGGGTTCGGATAAGGGTATATTTTAGTTCCGGATGCATTGGGTACGGATTGGGTGTGGATGGGTTGGATTTGTGGTCTAGTTTGGGTTGTGAGCGATGAAGGTTAGACATCTAGCTGTTTGGACTTGCCAATTTCAGTGGTTTTTACAGGCTTCAGCTGCTCTCGATTAGTGCGCTTTTGCTTTCCCCGTTGGTCTACTCTGAAACCTCCCCAAACCACCTAGAAGGAAGAAGGAGGGTTCCTCTATGGGGGTCAGCTTTTTCGGGCCTCCAGGTTTGTTTTGGGACTTGGGGCCAACTCCCAGCGCAAATTCAGCAAACGTTGTTAAGGTCTTGTCTCAAAAAGGGGCACCCTCAACCACAAGACAAACCAACTTTGCAAATGTAGTGAAACATCTGGGCAAAAAAAAGGCATTTAAGCCCTACGCAACTTCAACCCCTGCGCCTGGTCCGCCCAACTCGCTGGGGGCTTGATACTGGTCCGCCAACCCGCGCTCGATACTGGCTCGCCCAACCCACGTTTGACACTGGCTCGCCCAACTGTGCCCGTTTTTTCGTGTTTTTGCACGATTTTTGGATTGCACCCTTTTGCACCCTGATTGCACCCTAATTGCACCCTAATTGCACCCTGATTGCACCCTTCCGCTGGTTGGCTTTTTGCTCGTTTTTGACTGTTTTGGCTTGTTTTGACTTGAGTGCACATTTTTTTGCACGATTTTTTTGAGTGATTTTGAACGCTTTTGAGGCCTCCGAAGAGGGTACCTGAGGTGGATTTTCTTTTTGCTGTTCCGCCCAACTGGTGTGGGGGGATACTGGTCGGCCCAACCGTTTTGCAGGTAGCATGGATGGCCCTCTGTTTGGAGGCTCGACTGGTCTGCCCAACGGGTCTGGGGGGTTTGGCTTAGTGCAGCCAACAGTACACCAATTGCTGCAGGCACCGCTGAACGAAAACCCACATATTGATCAGCCATGCCCGTCGAAAAGCAACTAGGCCAACTAGCAGTTCATCTTAAGCCAAGCTGATCATCTACAAATATATATATATATACAAGTAAGGTCCGGCAGAGCCGGGGGGCGGAAGTTTCAAAGCAGTGAACAACTATAGTTTGGAGAACTGTCCTTGGCCCCTTGCTTCTCTCTCTCTCTCTCTTTTTCTCTCTTTCTCTCTTTCTCTCTCTTCTCTTTCTCTTTCTGTTTCTCTGTCTCTTTCTCTCTCTTTCTATCTATCTCTCTAGCTATCTCTATATCTGTTTATTGATCTATCTATCTACCCATCTTTCTCTGCACTTAAAAGTTGCGATGTTCAATCCCCGAAAGTTGACTTCGCGTACTACTTTCGTACTTAAAAGTTGCGATTTTCGAGCCCCAGCTGCGAAACTGGACTTCACGTACTACTTTCGTAGTTAAAAGTTGCGATTTTCGAAGTCCAGCTACGAAAGTGGACTTCGCGCACTACTTTCGTACTAAAAAGTCGCGATTTTCGAGCCCCAGCTGCGAAAGTGGACTTTGCGTACTACTTTCGTACTTAAAAGTTGCGATTTTCAAGCCCCGGCTGCGAAAGTGGACTTTGCGCACTACTTTCGTACTTAAAAGTTGCGATTTTCAAGCCCCAGCTGCGAAAGTTGACTTCGCGTACTACTTTCGTACTTAAAAGTTGCGATTTTCGAGCCCCGGCTGCGAAAGTTGACCTTGCAAAAATGCTGCGCCTGCCACCAAATCTGTGCTTGACCTTGCGAAAGTGCTGCGCCTGCCACAAAATCTGTACTTGACCTTGCGAAAGTGCTGCGCGTGCCACGAATTTTGCACTTGACCTTGTGAAAGTGCTGCACCTGCCACGAATTCTGTACTTGACCTTGCGAAAGTGATGCGCCTGCCACGAAATCGATACTTGACCTTGCGAAAGTGCTGCGCCTGCCATGAAATCTATACTTGACCTTGCGAAAGTGCTGCGCCTGCCACGCAATTCAAACCTTGCGAAACCTTCGCGCGGCCGTGCCAATGGGCCCGTCTCCGAACCCGTTCCGAACCCGTTCCGAGACCGTTCCGAGACCGTTCCGAGACCGCCTCCGTACAGGCGTCGCAGCCGAGGTGGTTTGCGCACAGTCCGGAAGCCCAATTCACGCACAGCGCCAACGTTTTCTGCATCTTGCCATCCCCCAGCTCGCAGAGAGTGGACGCAGCACCTTGCGAAAGTGCTGCGCCTGCCACGAAATCGATACTTGACCTTGCGAAAGTGCTGCGCCTGCCACGAAATCTATACTTGACCTTGCGAAAGTGCTGCGCCTGCCACGCAATTCAAACCTTGCGAAACCTTCGCGCGGCCGTGCCAATGGGCCCGTCTCCGAACCCGTTCCGAGACCGTTCCGAGACCGTTCCGAGACCGTTCCGAGACCGCCTCCGTACAGGCGTCGCAGCCGAGGTGGTTTGCGCACAGTCCGGAAGCCCAATTCACGCACAGCGCCAACGTTTTCTGCATCTTGCCATCCCCCAGCTCGCAGAGAGTGCTTGCGAAAGTGCTGCGCCTGCCACGAAATCTATACTTGAGAAAGCTATCTACGTGTTAAGCTGGCTATATGTCAAAGCTATCTATCTGTCATGCAAGCCTATTGGAAAGCTATCTATCTGTCAAGCTAGCTATATGTCAAAGCTATCTATTTGTCATGCAAGCCTATTGGAAAGCTATCTATCTGTCAAGCTAGCTATATGTCAAAGCTATCTATTTGTCATGCAAGCCTATTGGAAAGCTATCTATCTGTCAAGCTAGCTATATGTCAAAGCTATCTATTTGTCATGCTAGCTACCTGTCATAGCTATATGTCAAAGCAGCTAGCTCATTTAGTTCCAGTACTACGGAAGTTTCTTGTTAAACTTCCTTTGATTAAATATATAATATGCATAGATTCATGAAGGTTTGGAAGGAAGCAATGCTCTTAAACAAGTGCTACGTGTGAGGAATTGGAACGGACCTCCCAAACAGGCTCTCAAAGCTTTGGGACTGCCTTAAGAAAGTCCAAGAGGCAGTGCTCAAGTCCTATGTAGATCACTTCCCACCCTCAGGTTTTGGTCAACTTCGCCGTTTGCAACCAGCCTGACGATTCAGACGTGGAATGCAACTTGGGTCAGACCCAAGCGTGGCGTGGACATCATGGATTTGGGTTGATGCCGTTGAGAAATGACACCAGCAGGACACATGGCATCTGAGGCGAATCTCAGCAGTTTGCCAAACCAGCCAGCCCCGGCAACACAAACAGTTTCGCAGCATAATGGAGCCTGGTTCCAAAACATGCTTCCTTCATGACGTTGCCCATCAATGAAAACTAGCACATTCGCCTGCCTAATGGAGCGGACATACAAATGACTAACCTTTTGGGGACAACATGGACACACATCAGAGCACCAACAAGGTAACAAGGTCAAAGGCTCGGCTAGATATAGGTCGGCCCCATTGGCATTGACCACAAGGCAGAAACTGGCGCAAGCTCCAAACCAGCTGACTAAGTGATTAAGCGATCTGGGCATCGGCTGGCAAGAAGCTTGGTTTCCCATCTCCTGCCTCTGCGAAAGGGTCAGCCACGAACAGAAACCTGAAAAGCCGGCCGACGGTGGACCGAAGAGCGCACACACACACACACAAGCAACTTGAAAAACGCATGACATAGAGTATTCGTGATCATACCCCCTCCTTCTGAACTGCTCTTCACGCGGAACATGCGAGAACCAGAGCGTTTGGCGAGAAGATCATAGAGCAACATTTGGAGAAAAAAACACTTGCATCATTCAGAATATCCCAATAACAAGCTACTGCACCATGGGTGGGATGGTGAGTTCTGTTTGATACTGTCCCTTCATTTACCGGAGTTGTTGCTGTTTTACTTTACTTCCTGTTTGGAACTGCCTGACATGCAACTTTCATGCACTGCACGTGTCAAATTCTTGTGCCGAAGTGCAACATGGACCATGGAAGCTGCGATGCCTAGTGGTCCGAGCCCGCGGCCCGGGGGTGGGGCACTCCAGGAGTCCTGAAACGCAGGGAGAAGGGTCAAACGCGCCAAAGGCTGGTGGAGAGCAGCGGGACGCTGGAAGTAGGAGAAGGCATGACTCTGGTGTTTCTGCATGAATTAATGCATGTACGTATGCATGAATTCATTCAAGGAATCAAACATCCAGTGCATCCTCGGGTTTAAGCGCATGTCTGTACGCATGAATGAATAGGACTGAATAGAGGTTGCCCCGCCCCCAACAAGTACTTTCTCCGGGCAGCTCACTGGGCATGCTTGAAATGGAGGACCGACGGCAAAAGCAAACCTGGAAGCCGACCGTTTGAACGGCCCTTTGCTGTTGTTGGGTCAAGTACACATATTTACCGCTGTTAGTGGGTGGGGGCAGTGTCCCACCAGCTGGGAAAGGCCAAACTGAGCGACAAAGGCAGTGAAACGCCAATGAGCCTTGGCCTGGGTTTGTTAACCAGCTATCAGCCTACAGGAGTTGGGGGTATTTCGATCGGATTCCGCAGCTGGGCAAACAGCACTCTCTATGCTAGGTGCTTCACAGTAGCAAGATCTGTGCCACGTTCACAGCCCTTAGGATTCCTGGGCCAATAGAGGGAGGTGGCAACAGAAACGCAGTTGATTGCCTATTGATTAAGACCTAAGAGGGGGTGACAAACCAATGGCGGCAACGGGACCTTTGCCACGCTAACTGGGGCTGCGGTAGATGGTCAATGTGAGACACACCCCAAAATCCTAAACGGTGAGCATGTTTCTCAGCTCCACCCATTCTCTGTTGACCAAACTACCGCGCTCAGCACATTCTGGTAGAAGGTCAGGTCATCCTCCTCCTCAACACTCAGCAGCTTATCGCTGGCCTTCTTCGTTCGAAGACGGCTCTCGCTGCAGACCTGCCTCTTCATCAGCTCCTTCTATTCGAAGGGTGCCGGCGTGTGAGAGAGCAACGCTCCGTTCCTTTTTGTGATGTCTGCCTTGGTGACAGTGTCCACCGGCATCCTCTGATGTGGAGTGGAGTCCACCTGACCGTGGTGCCAACCTTCTGCATGAGGTCCAATACCGCCGCCAGCTCCAGTGACGTCCGTCCTGCTTGTAGATCGCATCGTAGAGCGACTTGGCGTCCGTGACACTGCATCGCTCTCGTCTCAGCCTGAGGCGGCACTCTTCCGGGAGGTAGGCCATGAAGGGCGAGAGGCTCTTCTGCCAGTCTTTCACGCGCACACGTCCTGAAAGGCGATCTCCCTGCAGAACACCTCTACCATTCCAGCTCTCCCAGGCAGTGCGATAGCGAAAGAGTCTCGCTGGCCATCGTGCCCGTGACCTGTCTGGAGCTCCTCCAGGAGAGAACGCTCACCTTCACCCTCCACTGTCCGGCGGTCCAAGTACGGTACTTGTGAAGAACATCTCGCACATCTTCTCTTTCCTGGCAATCCAGTTCATCCCTCACGTACTTCAGAACCTTCTCTTGCGCCTTCGCAGCCTTGAGCATGATGAGCATCCTATCTACTGGAAGATGGCCCATGTTCACGTGCAACCGATGCACCATGTTCTTCTGCTCCTGGGAGACAGGAGGTTCCTCCTCCACTTTGCCTTGAAAGTTCTCCGACTCCCACCCAGCTCATCTGCTTGCGGATCTCGAGGATGATGGCGCTCACCAAGCCCTCGGCCACTTCTGTGCTTTTCTTGGAAGGCTGCCCTCTAGCCTCACGTGCTGATGTTCTCCTCGACATCGTAGCCGGCATACTTCTCGTGCGACACGCACGAGATTCAGAATGAAGGATGTTCGCCTCCGAGACAGTCCATCTGGATGTACCTGAAAACCCGTCAGCCAGCGGGCCGCGTGTGTATTGCAGGATGATGCACCGTCCGGCTGCTCCATAATGAAGTCTCTTCCTTGATCTAGCTTATACTCGGCAACCTGGATGCAGAAGCCGAACATGGCAAGTCCGCGCTTTTGAATAGGTTCTGCTTGCCCCAGACGTAGCCTGTCTCAGTTGACGTTCATGATCTGGGAGACCTCCTTGCACTTTGGAGTCATGCAGATTTTGTCGAGTCCCATCCGCGCGCGGGGCTCCGTTGCCTTGATCCGTGTACCATGTAGCTTCCCTGACGCCGTCACTCTGGGAGGTGAGAACAGCTCCATGTGCATTTGCAAAATTCGCTCCGCCCGCAGGGGCATGGCCACGTCTGTGGATCCGGAGGATCGCTCTCTTCCACAGCCTATAGTTCGGCCACCCCGCCCATGCTGGAGGGCCTGCGTAGCCTTTTGACCACCAGTCATCCTGCCAGCCCCATGAACTCTGCCAGCTGCCCCACTGCCAGTTCACTCCCCAGAAGCCTGCATGGTTCTAGTTCAGCTGGACGCTGCTCTCGTCCATTCCCTGTGGCTCCACCCCAGAGGGTCCAGCTCCTCTCTCGCCCCAAGTCATGCCCTTCTTCCCGGTTGCCTTCTCCACCTTCCACTCCACATTAGTCGTGACCTTGGGGGATGTCCGCCGCCCATCTCCACCCCACCCCACTGGGGGGCGCGCGTGGTTTCCATGGCGTCGCCCACTCAGGCCCTGGGCACAGAGCAGGCTCCGCGCTACCAACTGATGAAGGCCTAAGAGCGTAAGAGGGGGTGGCAAACCTATGGCGGCCACGGGACCTTTGCCACGCTAAGTGGGCCTGCGGTAGAGGGTCAATGTGAGACAGACCCCAACATGCTAAACGGTGAGCATGTTTCCTCACTATTGCGAGTGAACCAACCAAAAACCGCGGCAAACAACCATGCTTGCAATGCACCTGCTTGCATCAAGCGACCTCCACCCTGCCAAAGCAGGACCAAAAGGTCAAAAGGTCGATTCGCTGATTCGCTTGGGGGACACACCTCTGCGTACCTGCCCAGGAGCACGTGGTTGGCCCATTGACAACGACCCCTGCAATGTTTACTCCCTTGCCCAAAGGATCTGGACACAAAGACCACTTGTGAGGGGAAGAGGGTGGGCGTTGGGGCGCTGAATAGGGTGTGGAAAAAAGGAGATCCATCCCCTTGTTGTGTCTTTGAGGGGGAGTCAAAAGTTATGGGTTCTTTTGCACCCAAATGGAGAAACATCAAAGGGTGGATGATATATCTGTGAATTTTTCGGTCTTGGGATGAACCAATGGTCAAGACTTCGCTCTCTCCCTCTCTCTGCATCTTCAAAAGGTCCCCATGGCGTGTCCTGGAGAGCTGCCGCGGACCAGCTCCGGCTGCTTGATGCTGGCCTTCCTGTGGCCAAAGGCCATCTGCATAAAACACTTGGATCCGGTAGAGGGAAGTGGTACAGAGCCGTCCGTGACTGAAATATGGAAGATCATTTTGGGGTTGATCCAAATTCCATCCACTGGTAGTGGGTGGGGTATGGTCCAAGGGGTCCTGGTGAATCGGGAATTCTTCACTTTGGGGAAATTGGCCTGTATTGATCCACATGTTTTTTTCGTCGAGGTCGGCATTGGGGGGCACCTTGTCAACCGGTCGAAAGCCCTGCCCCCCAATCGTTGACTATGTTTCAGCGCAACGTCGCTGACCGAACAGGAAGGCTGCTGCTGGCTAGGCCAATTAATAAAGTACATCCAAAGCAAATCGGAATGATCACCTAGATCTTCTAGAGTAAACCAATGCTGACGCTTCTTACCGCTGCTCAAGAAAAGTCATCGCAGCCCAACAAACCTGAAGCCCAAGCCCCACACTCCAGAAGTCGATCCGTGCGAGCCTGGCACGCGCCGCAACAAGTTGCATCAGTGGAAGAAGCCCCAGAAAAGTTGTCTAGGGTTCTTTTCACTGGTGCTGTGTCTTTGCGCCATGCGCGCATGTCGCTCATGGCCGCAAGGTGGGGGCAGTCGGGAGACGACTACCTTAAGCCAGACAGCATTTCAGGGACCAAAATATCAATCATCCTGCCATTGTCTCCCATGCTTTGCGGGGGGTCAGTCAGTTGGGCTCCCGCCTTGGCCCCCCCCTGTCGACCGGAGCAGGCGGGAGGGGGGGGAAGGCAAGCCAGTTTATAACCGGGATGACCATGCTCAAAGGGGGCTGATCAGCTCCCCAAAAACTTGGACACACTCTCTATCACTCTCTAGCGCGGGTAATTGTCAAAAACAAAAAAAAAGGCCCACAAAATGGTGGTCGCCCTGATGTTCCTTTGAACTGCCTCCCAAAAATGAAATTATCCAATGACCTGCTTTAGATAATAACAAAGGATGGTCGGCACCACACCTGTATTCTGACACACCTGCTTGGGAACAAAGCATCTCTCCTGATGGTTGGAGCATATGCCAAGTCAAACTTTACAGATTCAGCAAGTAAGCGCCGCCCCGCCCAAACGCACCCCTTGGGCCCTTCAAGCGAAAAAGCCTAGCAACAAACAATATATGCTCTGCCAACTCAAATGGGACAGTGTCACAAGCAAACATCAAAGGCACCGTGTTGTGACTGCGTGATCTATCGAAAAGACTTAGGCGCACTTCCATGCGCGGATCAGCCATCCTGGGCTGCCGGGCATCGTAGCGGAGGACCACTGCTTTGGGCGCAAGCACTGCCTGGCTGCACGGCATGCCTTTGCCCGGCGTCGGTAAAGGCTGCGCCTGAAAAATTGCAGGTGCTCTTGAAAAGCGTGTTGAAACAGCTGATCAAGGCGGCGGTCAATTTGGCCACGTGTCCTTTCAGGAAGCCTGTGAGGCGCGGCATTCTGATGCCGCGCCTCTTTTGCAATGGGCCCCATCGGCCCAAAAATCCATCGAAGCCTATACAGACATTTCCAAGACCTGACTTGAGAATCGGATCCCAAGGACCTTGGCCAGAGGTGGCTCAAGGCCATGGCTTTGTAGGTCACACGGGCATGCAACTCCTAGCTCGCAAACCAAGATACTGCTTCTCGAGTAGAAATGAGAAAAATGCGGGAACTAACATGGAAAGCATGGCTTTGGACAGCCGAACCGAGAAGAGCAATGAGAGGAGGGCCCGCTGCTGCAGAAGTAACCCAGGTAAAGTCTGACTTTAACCTGCATCTTACCATAGCAGGTACTGTATTTGTGGAAACTTGATGTAGTCTATGCTGAGCGCACGTTCTGCCCCCTGCGCAGAGAGCAAACTCCGACTGCGGCAACCAATGACCCGCAAACAGAAGAAAAGCACTTCTTGAGGTTGACGGTTTTCAGTTGGCAACCGACTGGCCCCGTTCAATCCTGTAGATTGCTGAATATGGCGGTTGAATGCAGTCGGGCCCCCAGAAAGTTGGGATTCGCAGGGATTTACATTTGAACAAGGACCGATGCACCGCCTCCAGGGCATTCAATATGTCCTGGAGACGGATGGCCATACGCAGAAGACACCCTTACCAGACATTAACTTCGGGAACTGTCGATGAATACACTCCCATAAACAAGTGGTGAAACATGTGGGGAAGGTTGTGAAAGGGATGGTACAGGAGTGGCTGCGTGCCCCTCAACCTGCCTCTCTGTTCGCTTGGAGGCAGTGTCCATGCAAACAAATCCCTTTGCGTGGCTTGATTTGCAAGAGCAAATCAAGACAGAACGCAGAGCGGCACCGGAGCAAACATGTACACCCAACCCTCACGCAGAGCCACAAGACTTGCCCACACCAAGAACAATAAACTCCTAGGAGCATGATCACAGGAGAACCGTTTGATTAGCTCGCAAGCGGAATCGCACTTGCATCACACTGAAACTTGCAGCTCGGCTCCTCCTGTAGCAGAACTTCTGCGGCCAGCGCGGTGAATTGAAGACAAAGCCTAAAGGAACCCGCGGGCAAGATCCTATGGCTCTACTATCTGTTGCCTGCAAGCTTTCAGCATGGCGCGTGTGGGCATGTCAAAATCAGGGGCGAAGCAAACAACACGTAGCTTTCCTTTCGGTTTCCCTTCAGAGCCTCTTTCCCATGCAAGTGGACAGGGTCCTAAGATGATGTTTGTCTTCCGAAACACTCCAGCGTTCTGAGAAGCAAGGTTCAACGAGCCATGCTGGCCGAAAACCGCAAACCCATGCTTTCAACTGAGAGTTCCCGGCACATCCCCGTAGCGGTCGCACAGCACGCCGGGCAGGAGGTCACCCTGGGGCACGGGATTCGCTGAACTGGATCCACAATCCTCCTGGCCACTTCAGGAGCATAAGGTGTTTTAAGGGAAAACACTCCCGTAGGTAAATCTTGAGCACGTCAAAATGGTCTCTTTGAGGCGCAGTGACAAGGCCCCTGAAGGTGGCAGCTCCAATCGCATTCACCTTCCCTCAGAAAAGAATACCGCCTAGCGACAAGAACAAAACGATACGCAAATGTCCCTGCTCTGTCAAAAGAAAACCTGCGTTGCGAGGTCCGAACAAAATGTGCCCAGGGTAAACCATGCAAAACAAATCCACTGTGCCTCAAGCCTCCGTCTTTGTGCGCGGCTAAGGGAGGTCGTATAATAGTACATATCCGCACAGATCTGCCTCTCTGCATGAAGGTCACATGGTACAGCTTGGCTCCTGCCTCTCCGTTGATGAGCCGATAGTGCTTGCTGTCCGGCCAGCATCGGGTCCGGTGCTGGCACGCAACCAGATGTCCCAGTCTCAGAGCAACTCCAGTCACCAAGGCAGGTCAGGGAAGACATTTACCAGCCAAATCGGTGAATGGCAGAGAGGTGCATAAGAGAAGGAGATTAGCCATTGGTAAGCAACTGATCGCCTCTCCATGCATCTCTTCCCACTTGCTTGGCATCACATAGGAATGACACCTCCGGGCGTGTGACCAGGGCAAAAAATCATGGCCCCGTTCATTCAATTTATTCGCTTGCCTTGGAAGAGAGAAGCGGAAAAGAGAGAGAGAGAGAGAGAGCGAGAGGGACACATAACAAGAACAATAACAATAATAATAACAGTAAATACTAACAGTAATATGATGTTTTTCTGTGCCAGTCTTCACTTTGCCTTCCCCACCCATCTTCTCCCAGTCCCTGGCTTCAACCGCAAGGAAAGGGATAGAGAGAACATGAGTCTGGCTTCACCATGCCTCGATCACCTATGCCTTATCACAGCCGTGTACGCAATTGTCTACTTTGAGCTTTATCAAAGCTAGGGCGTGCTCAGGGACAGCCAAAGGACATCCGCAAGTTAAGAGACACGGCCTTTTTTCGCCAGCCAATGTATGAAAACTATGCTAAAGTGGGTCCGTGGGTGCTGAAAAAAGACTGGCGCAATCTCCTTTAAGGAGAAAGACCAGTCGGGCAAACAAAAAGACAGAGGACGCACGATAGTGGATGAAAGTCCTCTCGCCACTTTTGTGGAGAAGAGCTCATGAATGTTCTGCGCTGGTATAAGAAGACTGAGTTTGGGAACTGGTCCAATTGTTGTGACGTGCAGGCTGAAACGCACGTAGATGCTCCGATACTGTTCCCACCTCAGCGCCAAGGCAATCACATGACACCATCAAATGATTGTGGGGTTGATGCACAAGGTACCGTACATACCTTCGCCGATCTTTCGCAAATTCTCCAAACTTGCTCAAAAAAGGGCCCAGCCAACGTTTTGCTTTTGGATCATTCCCGTGGGAACCACTGCAAGTACAAGCGCTGCGCATCTGCAACTTTCCAATATGTACACATACAAACAGGCCGCCAAAAAGTCTTAGCTAAAACAAATATGTTGCGTCCTTCGCGGACTTCTTTTGGGTACAAAAACACCTGCAATGCGATGGTGCTCCAGATGATATGACTCCTTGCGAGGGTTAATTGAACACAAATCGGGTACATTCAAAACGCTTCGTAAACCACCAGTTCCCCGCCCCCGCGGAAGTAATGTCCACCTGTGATTCCATCAACCCCCCCCCCACCCCCCCCCCCACCCCCACCCAAATAACTGAGGTCCTTCAAACAAAGTTGGAAAAGTATACCAATACTAAACCAAGAATTGCGAATACTAGTTTAGAATTGCCTTTTTTGCGGGAGTCTTTTCAATTGACTTGAGTATTGCAACTGCAAATTTAGAGTTGGAGGCTCTTTCAGTTGATTTTAGTATTGCAAATTCAATTTTGGAATTGGCTGCTTTGGCTGCTTCGGCTGCTTTGAAGAGGCTGGGATGGGAAGCTGGTGGGCTGGCCAAACAACTTTATTTGGGGACCGCTCTCAAATACAGTTTTTGCATGAGACTCAGGGCTCCCGTGTGGTACCCCTTTGTGGGATTGATTTTGTGTGTTTTGAACAAAGATATTCAACAAAAAGATGAGGCCTGAAAAATATTTTGGAGCATCACCCAAAGAAAGAACTTGCTTTGGCAACAACGATGAGGGGATTCTTTCGAAGAGGCTGGGATGGGGAGCTGGTGGTTTTGGAGGGGGGCTGGCCAAACAACCTTATTTAGGACCCATTGATTAATCAGACCGGGGCCCCAAAAAAAAACTATTCGGGGAACATTTATTAATTGTAGGTGGACATTAATACCCCTTCTTTGCGAGCCGCTTGTCTTATTTTGGTATGGCATAGGCCTTAGAGCAAGAACGCACTCCTTTCTCCAAGCAGCTCGCTCTGCTGAGAATTGCGGGTCCAACATATGAAGCGCCTTGGACAGTTTAATGTCCAATTGACGCATCTCCGCCTGCATCGCCACCTGGCAGGCGAATTGCGCAAAACGTGGAACATGTAGCAATCGTGGCCTTGAACAGCGATTAGCAAATGGGCGTGTCTGTGCTTGAAGGTAGCCGTGTTGTGGCTCTAGAGGGAAGTTCAAGAAAAACCAGCCCGCAAAACTAGCTACGAAGAGGCCAAACGGGCGCGTTAACGAAGAATTGCCACATCTCACTTGAGGGGAGCCACATTGCGGGGAGAGGTTGGTGTGACACAGGCTCCGCCAAGAAGAAATGAACCTTGCTTGATCAAATCACGTGGACGCTCGCTCAGGCCTCATAATTCGGGCCAAGGAGGTCCTAACGCATAAATTCGTCTAAAATTCCCCTTCAACTAACCATGGGGTCCAGCCTGCAACCCGCTTTGACGCACACGCGCGGGCGCGGGCGCAAACACAAACACAGACACACAGACACACAGACACGCAAACACACACACACACACACCCACCCACCCACCCACCCACCCACCCACCCACCCACGCACGCACGCACGCACGCACGCACGCACGCACGCACGCACCCACGCACGCACATAGTCATGCATAGCAAAACAAAACAAACAAAAAACAACCCCAAGAGAAAGCAAGCTAACACACGAACAAAGGAAAAACAACAGCAAAGAAAAGAAACAAATCAACAAACAAACAAACAAGCACGCAAATGCAAGCAAGCAAGCAAGCAAGCAAGCAAGCAGGCAGGCTGGCAGGCAGGCAGGCAGGCAAGCAAGCAAGCAACAAAAGCAAGCAACTGCAAGGCAAGCAAGGCAAACGCAAGCAACCACAAGCAAGCGAGCGAGCGAGCGAGCGAGCGAGCAAGCAAGCAAATGCATGCGTGCGTGCGTGCGTGCGTGCATGCAAGCAAGCAAACAGGCAAGCACAAGCAGGCAAGCAAGCAAAACAAGCGAGCAAGCAAACAGGCAAGCAACCAAGCAACCAAGCAAGCGAGCGAGCGAGCAAGCAAGCGCGGCAATTCAACGCAATGCAAACAAGCAACCAGGACACCCCCAATTGGTGATTTGGATTCGTGGTTTGGGGTGTTGAACCCCTGGTTCTTGTAGTGAGTACATGGGAAACCACCTCAAAACCACCAAACCACTAATCCAAACCACCAATTGGAGTGAAGCTGAAGCAAGCAAGCAAGCAAGCAAGCAAAAAGCACACACACAAATCAAACCAACAAGCAAATCAACAAACAACACGCAAGCAAATTAATCAACGGGAACCAGAACAAACAAACACAAACCAACAAACAAACAAGCAAACAAACCAAAAATCGACAAACACAAAACCAGGCAAACAGGCAGGCAGGCAGGCAGGCAAACACAAAGCGACAAACAAACAGCTGCAAGCAAGCAAAGCAAAGCAAAGCGAATCAAGCAAGCAAACACACAACGAAAGAAAGAAAGAAAGACAGAAAGAAACAAAGAAAGAAAGAAAGAACGAAAGAAAGAAGGAAGGAAGGGAGGAATAAATCAACAAAAAAATGAAGCAATAAAAAACAGATAAAGAAAGAAAGAACAACAAAAAACAAACAAAACAAAAGAAACAAACACAATCCAACCAACTAGTTGACAAAAAAAACACCCACGCCTGATCCACAGCTCGCGCAGGTCCTTTGCAACGTAGAATTCCATCGATAAACTCGTCTAGGGTGACCTGACAAACGGCGCCAACAGCGTCGTGGTCACGCAGGTGCTGACAGCGGTTTTCTTGGCCCCCTGCGCCCCTTCAGCAATGAAAGCGGCACGCCGTGGGGCCCGCGTTTTGAAATCAGGCGTTTTTACACCTTGGCATAGATATCGATGGATGCACCTTTACTTGCACATGCGGTCTTTGGGAGAAGGCCATCCGCTGCAAGCATCTTTCCTCTCCCCCGCTTTCTGGCAATCAGTATTCTCCCAGGTTCTCTTGGTATTCCCTTGGTACCCCCCTCAAATGTTCCTTAGAATTCCCTCAGTATTCCCCGGATTAGCAACCTCCCGGCAATTATGTCCCCAGCGCGCCTTTGCTATTTTCTTAGTATACCCCCACTAGTCTCTCAGCACTCCTTTAATGTTGCCCAAGAATTTCCTTGTATTCCCCTGGTATTCCCCTAATAGTCTCCTATTTCAGTAGCATTCCCTTACCCCTAGATTTGTATTCCCCTAGTACTCCCCGAATATTGTTCAGTATTCCTTAGTACTTTGTCTTAGTGTATCACTGTATTCTCCAAATATCCCCCTAGTATTCTCCAGCATTCCCCTTTGTACTTCCCCTGGTATCCGGCATCTGCTCTGCAATTTCTGAGTAGCAACAAACTAGGGAAATACCGAGGGGATAGGGAACACAAAAGGAAACACTAGGACAATACTAGGGGAATACTAGGAGAGAATACTACGAATAAACAAAGAAAATACTAAGGAACGCTAGGGTTACTAGGGGAATACTGGGATAATGCTAGGGGTATTCCAAGAAAATACGAAGGAATACTAGGGCAATAATAGGGGAATACTAGAAGAATCTAGGGGAAGAGAATGCTAAGGGAACAGAGAATACTGAGAGGAATGCGAGGGGAATATTGGGGGAATACGAGGGAAGTATTGTGAATACTAGGAACATACTAGGGGAAAAATATTAAAAGAATTCTGGGGAGTGCTGAGAGAACACTAGGGGTAAGAGAATAGTAAAGAAATATGGCAAGGATGCGGGAATATTAAAGGCACAATGAGGAATTTTCTGGGAAATTTCAGGGAATGTTCTTCAATGAAATACTGAGAGAACACGAAAGGAAGCACTGAGGGACAATACGAGAAGTGCAAAAACCTTGTGCAAAAACAACACACACACACACCAAAAAAAACACACACCCAGAACAAAACCTTGGAGGTACTGGCCGTTTCCCCCAGAGAATTGGATTGTTTTGTTGTTTGCTTTGTTTGAATTTGT